GATAGCTAGACCCTTAATAAAGTCTCAACTATCAAAGCTGATGAATGATTTACTGAGAGATGATAAATTGCGAGCAAGAGGGGCTCTCTGATGTCTTTTTTTTTTTTTGCTACCTAAGTACAGTGACTTATATACAGTACAGGGGCATTGCCTATGGAAAACAAGGTGTAAACACTTGGTAAGCGATTGGTAACTGATGAGTAAGGAATGTAAGCGATGGGTAATCGTCTTGGAAAGCATTGGTAAGCATTGGTAAGGATAAGTAAGCCAAAAAGCGAAGAATCAGTAAGCAAAGTCAAAAGATTGGTAAGTATTTGCAATAGGTGAGTCAAAGACAGTCAGAATGTCAAAGTATGAGTCAAGCAATGTCAGGAACTGGGAAAGTGCACTGGAATCGCATTAGGGGGAGGCTGTGCATGTCACATCTTGAAGGGATCGCTTCTAGGCCAAAGTGGGATGACAGAGAGGCAGCACTGATCTGATGCCAATATAGTACATCCCAAAAGTGGACAGGGTGAGTCAGATGTCAACAGGGGTCAAGCTTTGGGGGTCTGTGGGGTGACAGGAGCATAGGGGATTGCAACTTTCCCCCCCAAACCATCCTCTCAGTGAAGCAAATAAAAACTTCATGAATGAGGCTCTGTTGGAAGAGAGGATGAAGGGGGAGCGTCTTCTGCTGTATCTTGCAACAAGGAGGCAAGATGTGCATCATACTCATCATGGATGCGATCAGGGAGAGTGGAGAACAGTAGATTATACTGTAGCTGTCGCAATTTTGGAAGAATGACGGACAAGACCGGTATGAAGATGTTGCAGGGGGCAGGGAGGAAGGATCCATATGCTTCTTGGACTGGAGAGACTGAAACGACCACATAAGACCTTTCCAAGCGAATGACAGACCTGAGGCGACCAAAGAATGTCCTCCTGGAGGTCATACTGACAAAAAGAACATGCTGTCCAAGCTGGATGGGCTGAGAGGGGGCAGATGAGGGTGGGATGTACCAGGACGCTTCAGGACAGAAGCTGGTAGGAACTCCTGGTAGATATATGTAGCCATGGTCCCTAGCAAAGGGGACAAGCGAAATGACTGATGTGGAGGCAGCCATATCAGAAGAATTAGCAAAATGAGCATCTTTTGGAGGGAGTGCTGTAGAAACATGTGGAGTGCACAAATCCTTTCCAATCTTGGAAGGTAGGATCATGTGGCTGAGCACTACAAGCGAGTGTGGGAATGGTTTCAGTGTCTGCAGAATTGGTGGAGATACGTTGAAAACCGGAATGCCGTACACGGGCGCTTAACTCACCTCCTCCTTTTTCTTTGGCACTGACAACCTGTTCTTGTGCGAGGGATGACTGCCGACATTGCTGGCTGTCCTTCTTCGCATGAGGGCTATGGTCTTCACCTCCATTCATCAGCTACATCAATGTCCACCTCACCAAACACCTTTGGTGTGTGACACCATTTCCACATTGCATGACCTCAATGCCCCTGGCAGCCATGATTCAGATCTACATGACTCCAATTTGTCATTGGTCTCTTGTGCTCCATCACCTGTTGCCAGCTTGGTCACTCATTTCAATCCCCTTCACTCTCATCCAGCTAGTGTCACTGCTCCACAAGCTGATCTTGGTGCTCAAACTATTTCTGGTGCTTCTTGTTGATTGTCCCCTTCTATCTCAATTGGGAAGCCAATTTCAAACAGTGGTGTTGAGGTGTCAGTGGTGACCATTGCTGTTGGTCAGATGAACATGTCTGGCCCAGCTGAGGCTGAAACATCTTGATCCTGATGAGCAATTCCAGTCATGAGTCACTGGCACAGCTCAGCCACTCAAAAGGAGATTCCAGCCATTCCTGAGGTGGTTCCCAAGGGTCTTACAACTGATATTCATGCTACTGAACCAGGTCTGGAACCCACCTGCTGTGGTCACCATGCTACTGCTACAAGGTCCTCGAAACCAAAGAAGACAAAGGTTTGAATTAATAGCAGTACCAGGTGTCACTTATGTGCCAGGTTTCTATATGTTCTATGGTCTTTGATTTAGCCTGCATCCCATTATATTAGATGCAATTCATGTTTCAAGGTCATGTAGATCTACTTGTAATATGTTCATTTGCTGCATTCATACATCATTGCTGTTGTCCTCTGGAATTACCTGATCTGATTTCTTCTAAGTCATTCAAACTCCACTGGCTATATTATAAATGACTCACCCCTCTTCTCACACCTTGTTGTCTCCCACATTGTTATCCTGGTTCATTGCATTGTCATATGGTGTTGTCACTGTTATCCACCCTGTCATGCTCATTCATCATTGTCTGTCACCTGGGGAGTGGGTTCAAGGTTCAAGGTATGTTTCCCCCATGACACTATTATTACTTCTGATGTTGACTTTTTTCAAGGTTCCAGACAACTTGTGACAGTGTTGTGTGTTGATGCCAGCTCCATTGTCCTATTGCTTGACACTATGAATGCCTCTCATGCAACACTTATTCTATCTTCCTCATCCCATTGCCCCATATCACTGCTCCCACTGGTTCACTAATCTCATAAGTATTTTAATTACACTGTAAGCTATGATCTGATGGTTGCTGACAGTGTATGCATTTGCTTTTGTCCTTGTGTCATCATCACAATGACCCCCATACTTATGTTGAGCTGCTGTCCTTTCCTCCCCTTACTGCTCTTAGTCACTCATTGTCTGCTTTGCATGTCCACTCACACCACTGGCATTATTAGGTAGAACTCTCCAATTATTACTACCACTTGTCTATACATCAATAAGTAGTGATTTCTGAATGGAATTTTAACCATTGTCATGAGTGTACCAAGGCAAAATGAAATAACAATGGATCATCAAAATATTAATAAATAATAATGGTTAGTATACATTGTGATGAGTTCCACTGGTATTGCTATGGGTTCTTCACCATTGTCATGCCGTTATAAGTACTTATGCAGCAATATAATAGGGCCACTCAAAGTTAAATGTGGAAAAAACATGCGAGCAAACTCAAGTGTGGTTGAGTTGTGAGTTTGTGGGCCAATATTAAAGCTCCGACTGGATATTCAAACTCCGCATAAAAAGCACGTGACCCGGAAACAGTAGATGTGTAGATAATGCTATTAACGCTCCAATTTAAAATTCAAACTCCGCTGAAAAGCATGCATGCTTATCAATAGAGAGATCTAGCAAGTGATAACCACCTACCAATACCATGCCTAGGGTTACTGAGCCCCAGGAACTCCTAGCCATCCTTCAACAAGCCAGGGAACATTTTGGTCTGCTACAGTACTTAGATATACTACATGTAGCACTGCAGGAGGCTGAGGCTACTGACTCTGATAACTCAAGTGAAGGCCTACCCCAATCTGACAACACCATGACAACCCAATCTTCTGATGTTCCCTCTTCCCCATCTTCTGGTGCTGCAACTTCTGACTCCTCATCCTCATCCTCTGGCTTGATGGAGCAGTTGTTATTCAGTACTGCTGCTTTCTCTGGCTTCCAGGATGCTATTGCTGCACTCCAGGATGAAGTTGAAAAAACATGTGTTCTCAACAATCGACCAAGACAAAGCCACTCTCCCCAGCTCCACCTCCTTGATGAGTGGAAAATTGACCACCCTCACCTCTTTCAGCACAAACTCAGAGTCCCCCCAGCTGTTTTTTCTGCTATAGTGGACAAGATTGAGACCCACCCTATCTCCCACAACAACTCCAATAACCCCCAGCTCCCTGTCCCCATACAATTGGCAATTTTCCTTAATGCTGCTGGGCATTATGGAAATGCTGCCACCTCCTGGGATATGGCAGAGTGGGCTGGTGTATCTGTTGGGACTGTCCACAATTGCTACAAGAGGGTGATGGTTGCCATTCTGCACCATCATGATGAGGTGATTCACTTAAACCCTGAGGAACCACAGGACAGGAGGGAAAAGGACAGGGAAAAGAGATATGTGGAGGAGAGAACATGTCCTCAGTGGAAGGGGGGATATTTATGTGTGGATGGGACACCCTTCAATCTATTTCAGAAGCCTGGGTTGCATGAGGAGGGATTTTTTGACAGGAAATCCAATTATTCACTTTCCAACCAGGTGAGCACTCACAATTTGGTGATTACATGTATTCACTCACCTGCATTTAAGATCATCATCCTTCCCCCACAATCTTTGCATTGTGGATTATGTCATTGGTGTTCCAGGTAGCCTCCATGATGCCAGTGCCTTCCAACACACTCAATGTGCCTGGTCACCTGAAAGGTTTTTTGGTGAGAATGAATGGCTCTGGGCTGACTCTGCATATGGATGCCAGAAGTGGTGTATTGTTCCATCCAAAAGACCTGCTTCAGGTCAGTTGACTAGGGTGCAGAAGACATTCAATTATCATCTGTCTAAAGTATGTAACAGCTCGTTTTTACATATTTAGTCCATACTCATCTGTCATGGCAAGATATGTGTTCAATCTAAACATCTTTATGGCTCCCTTAAAGGGCACTTCCAATCCCTACAAGAGCTTCAAATCCAAATACAGACTCCAGAAGACTTGGAGTATTGTAATGCATGGGTGCAAAGTTGTCTGGTTCTCCATAACATGATCATAGAAATTGAGGAGGACCTTGGTTTGGCATCATCAGCTGAAGAGTTTGCTGGGGCATTTCCTCCCTCTGATGAGGATGAGGAAGGTGAGGATGCAGGTGAGGATGTAGGTGGTCAGGGAAACTACATCGGATCAGAGGGGAAAATATTTAGGGATGCACTTCTTATCATGTTACTTCAGCACTTAGAGGTGTAACACATTCTTGAGCTTGTAAATATATTTTGTTTTTACTTTACTTTGTTCTGGTGCTCTGGGACTTTGTTCTGGGCAAGTATGACACAGACAGGTTCACAACATTCATTCATATTTAGTATATACTAGGGGGGGGGGCAAGGCAACTGTATATAGGGGGGGGAATGCTAGGATGCTAGATGATCATGAGACAATGACCATGTACTGTATTCAGAAGGTGAAGTGAATATTCTGACTATCAGATGAAGTACCTTGGTCCTCACCACCTGCAATGCCTTTCTGCAATGTGAGATTCTGAACACAAAGCTGCTCCAGCTGAACCACAAGCTTCATCTTCTCAACCTCCTGAGCCACCATTGCTTGCTCATGCACATGCAGCTTGCATTGTATTTGCAACTGGTGCTCCTGATCCTCCACATGAGCAGACTTCCTCTCCTTCACCTTCCAGTAGTCAAAGTCCATTTGGGAGTGCTTGTGCTCCAACCAATCTTGCTGTGCCTGTCAAAATTGCTGAATAAACAACATTGGCATTGAAGTGAGGCTTGCTGAGAGCTGGTCAGCAGGGGCCTCATACCCACACTTACCACTTACAGGACAGCTTGGATGATGACAGCTTGCAGTTGCTATCATCAGATGGCACAGTGGAGGATGAAGACATATGAAGCCCTGAAAAAAGATTTGATGACAACATGTCCAAGTCAGATGACTCATCCATGTTTGGAGTGGAAGCCGACCTGGGTTTCAGAAGAGAGGAGTTGCACTCGAGAGATGGGTGCATTGGCTGAATGTTTGGGCAGCAGGACACGAAGGGGATGGGGTCATCATTCAGACTGATGGGATCCCCCTTGTCAGTGATGAGAGCAGGGGGAGATGGAATGCCAAGCAATGGATGTTTAATTCCAAACAGTGGGGGCGATGGGAGAGCAAATGATGAAAGATCCCCCCTGTCAGAGACAAAAGGGGGGACAGATGGAACACTGAGTCGGTTTCCAAATAGGGGGGGCAAAGGGATAGCAAGTGATGGCCATTCAGATCTGAATGGGGGGGTGGCATGTGATGATGAATCAGAAAGGATTGGGGGAGGAGACAGGACAGCAGGCAACAACTGTTGATTGAACAAGGGGAACAATGATGAATGAGCAACAGCAGAGGAAGGTGATGGGATGGGAGGCTTGCCAATGTAGTCTACAGTCATTGCCAGAGAATTGTCTGCAAAGATTAAGTTAGAACTCTCCCCTATTTTGCCCTCTTCCAATTCCAATGGTACTGGAGAGCCAGGTACAGGAAGGCCATCTGAAATGGTGTGAGGGTTCATCTGAAATTTGAAGAGCCCAACTGCACAGGCAGCAAAATTTTGGCCACTATCAGTACCACTCCACATGCTGTTGTACACAGGGTTCGTGTGCCACCAGCTGTGCAGGTCTCCCCACCATGGGAATACATGAGAAACATGCAAACCTCCTCAGACTTTGAGTGGCCCTAATACCATGATTAGGTAAAATAATGAGTTATCAAAGTCATAATCATGAGATGACACATGATTTCAACTGCATGTTCATGGAAAGTGGGTGGCATTACAAGTCATTAGAAGGCAGCGTGGGAAATCCGCTCCTATTAAGGTATGCTAATGACTTGTCACGGATCTAGGAAATTTGTGACAAAAGTGTTGTGATTACAAATCCAGTGATTTGTAATCACAACGAGTACCTCAAAAAAGTTTCGCCCACTGACATGCCGCACAGCATTCCCCCGGACCAGCAGCGCCTCATCTTCGCTGCTTGAAGCCTCTGTGTGCACACCCACACTCATGTTCACCTACGCATGTGCTACTTGGTATATGTATATTCATTGTCTAATTATTCTGCTCATACACACCCACCCAGCATACCCTAACAGATAGCACCATGCACCCTTGTAACTTTTTTGAATTTTTGACTTCAATAAAAAATAGTGTGATGAGTAAGAAAAGTGAGAATAGTTGGAAAGAGTTGTAAATAGTATGTCAATAGTAGAATTAGTATTTTGTGGATTTCCTGATGCTATATGGCAACTTATGTGCCCGGGAGCAACCCATCTCGCGCTTCGTTCGTGTCGAAGGACGTCCTAGGGCGCGCTCTCATTCCAGATTACGGTTTGCGAAGTTGTAGTTCTCTTCTGAGAAGATCTGTGGGATTTTTCTGAATTGCAACTCCATGAACGACGACTCGAACTTTTCATGGGGTGCCACTCGACTCGCCGAGGGGTGGCTGGACCAGGGAATGTGTGGACGGTGAAGGACTTGGGGCCGGCGAACTGCTGGGAGGGCGTCGAGGACAACCCCGCCTGATTCAGGCCCTTCCTGCCATGTTAATATGAATCTATCTCGCCACTCGTGCCTACCAATGGGATAGTTACATACAAGTGAAACTCAGACTCACGACTCAAAGTTCTCATTTACGTCTCTCACCACGTCCTGCAATAAGGTTGAATTGTAACTACATATGCAGTCGAGTCGAATTTCGGATCAACATAATCTGCCAAGTACCAAAACAGGCCACGGCAATGTCTGATCCAATGCACTCATTCCCTGAAGCCTTCCCTCATCCGACTAAGTTGCGCCTCCAATTGTGCTTGCTTCGCTAGAGCTTCCGTCATAGCCCGATCCCGCTCCGCCAAAGCTTCTGCCAAAGCTTCTGCCATAGCATCTCGCTCTGCCAAAGCCTGATCACGCTCTTCCACAATCTGCATTTGGATTCATATCAGGTTTGCATAGAAAAAGAGAACACCTATGTACCTGCTGCCCAGTTCGTCGTTTTCGTTCAGCTTCCTCCAGCAAACAAGTGTTTTTTGCACGATATTCAGCACACACCGCGTCTACACTCTCAGCAGTTGGTATCGCCACACCACGCCATCTCCCCGCTCGATCCGACTGGATATCTTCTCTCGCGTGCGGAAATAGGCACTTGAGTGCCTTAAAAACCGTCTCGGAGAACCAGTAACACTGGCTTTCAATCAAATTGTATACCAGTATGTGATTCGATGTCACAGCGAGCAGCGTCGACAATTCATGGGCAGATGGTCGAACACTGCCTTTGGGGAACGTCAGCGTACGAAGACAAATTGCGGCGGTACACTTCACGGCCAATTTAATGGCACCTGGACTGCCGAACGCCGCGGAATACACGGTGTCATCCGCTTCAATGGATGGTTTACTTGAACCTAATGAAGACAAAATGTTACCGTTGTGACCTGGTGCTGTGGAGTCCGCAGAAGGGGCAACATTCGCAGAAGAGGCGGGGATCACAACCGCTGGGAAGTTTTCAGTAGCAGTGGGGTCCGTGACAGTGGGATGGTTCGCAGTAACGGTAGTGTCTGTAGGGGGAGAGCGCGTGGCAAATTCTCGCGCTGCGCATCCATATTGTCGTCAGTGATTTAAATGGACACAGAATGGCAGAGGTACTTCTATCTGAATTGGTACGATCTTTTCCCCGCTCAGCTACGACGGTTGACTTGTAGCGTCCATCCATAGACAGTATATCGAATTGAAGGAACTCATGTTGCACAGTAGAAGATTGCTTGTGCCAGCAGACCTTCTCAACGTAACATCGTGCTGCGTTATCGTCTCCTCGAATAACACGCTCCCACCAGCTGGTGGTGAAGTGGGACATCTGATCTTCGAATAGACCATCCACTGGAGTTCGGAATTGTGAAGCCATTCCAAGACTGGTGAGGAGTCTCAAAAAGAGGTGGTGTATTAAGGTGGGCATGACCGTGTCTTGAGAGGGATCGACTTTATACTGTTTGATATCGGAAGGAGCTGGCCTGCGCGGAGAGAAACAGTCAAGTTTGCCCATAAACCTACAGTCTACCGACACGTCCGAAAGACAGGACGCGTGTGGATCGAATGTGATTACATAATAGAAGGGTACATGTAATACACCGCAAAATCGACCCTGGTAAGTAATTCTGAGTGCGACTCGTGCAACCTGCCCTTCGATACAGCTGCACCGTGTCCGTAAGTAGGCCATGCGGTGATCGATCGACTGATCGACTGTACATCCATGGTAACTCAGTTGAGCTCTTACCAATCTCATACTTTTATATTATACCCTTGTCTGCAGGCCGACGTTCGAGGAACGAAACCAAAAAAAGAACGGGAGGGTTCACCGGGGTCAGTCTTATGTACATGCATTCTAGTTCTTTTTCTGTGTGCATGTCGTGACTCAACAGGACAGGTTCCGATCTTCAGGGCTTGTGAAATTGTACTCACAGAAGCATTGCTTTGCAGCCTCGAGGCCAATGCCCAGCGGCCCGCATCACTGCTGTATGTAGTGCCATCCGAGGAGATCTTGCTGATAGATGTATGCGATAGGAAGTTACTTAGGGCCGCTATTATTGCACGCAGCGGGCTAGAATAACGGCTCGATCCCATCAGAAAGCATGTCTTGCCACGGGTACAACGTATAAGACGTCGGCCAATGTAGCCAGAAGGGACGCGTGCCAATGCGATAAATTTACACGGACTAGGCTAGGAGGGACAGTTGTGCAGCATGTATGCCACGGAAGACAAGTGTGACGCCTACAATCTTGACGATCAAGAAGAGCTACTAAATAATAGAACTAGCCCTCAAGGTAAATACTTGAAATGTCTGCGAAGTTACAGGTAGTGATTCTGAAGCTTATGCTGGGGACCTGCAATAGGAAGGACTATATCGGGGGCCACAACCGTGAATTTCAAACACGTCAACTCGTACAACAAGGAAAATGTGGCGAGTCAGTGTGATGCAGGGGATGTATCTACGGGGACCAATATCGAGAACATATTATCCCTGTCAGGGGGATGTCGCCCTCAAACGTGTACTAGAAACATGTTCGGCCAGTCTAGGCTGAGGTACCCACGTTACCAATGTTGTCATCTCTCGATTGGAGAATCTAACAACATCTGCTCGCCGGCCATCCGAGATTCAACTGGACCCAGGTGATAAGAATCGTGACTTACCTAGGACGATGGTGATTCCTAAGAGTAGTGGTGACCGCCACACACTCATGTTCGTAGGCAATGCGTGCATGTATGGTGAATGCTACTCGAGTGCGGCAAGGACAGCGCAAAACTATGCATCGTAAAGAGGGAAAGCAAAGAACGGAGTTGACTCCACCAATCTGTAAACCCTGTCAGTTTTCCATCCCAACCCCACCAGATCAACTCGTCTTGTTCATCGACGTCCGCATCTGCATCTTCTCTATCGGTCGCTGATTGACCTTCCGACTCAATCCCCTTCACACCGCCCGGCGCTCTCGGCTGGTATTCGCTCCCCGACCCACGTGCTCGAGCCCAAATACCCTCGACCCAGACATTTCCCTTCCGGTCTCGTTGCTTTCCCGCCGTCGTTCCGGTGGTTGTCGGAGGGGTTTTCGGTTCCTTACTGTCCGCAGACGTATCCAAAAATGCGTCCAAGAAACCATCCAAAGCCGGCGAAAACGGTTGACGGGGTATCCATGCAGGATGTGCGAATCGACGAGGTGCGCGAATGAGGGTATGAATGTTAGTGGGTGCTGTGCACATGGAATAAATCAGTACATGGGATGAGTAACTCGAACGAGGTGAGAAAGAAACATACGCAGTTTAGCAGCAATGCCTTGACCTTGGACATCCTCTGCGCATGCCCTCGCAAGGGTGAACGAGAGGAGACGTTCGGCTGTACGGAGGAGGGTATCGTCGGGCTCTTCATGGCATCGGGGGAGAGTCGCATGTTCTAGGGGTGGCACTAGTGGTGGGGGTGGTGGTTGTTCTTCACTTGCGCTGTCTTCGTCTCCATCTTCCGAAGAGGGTTGGTCCTCTGTACTTTCCTCGTCAGCCTCGTACGGAGATTCGGTAGAGTGGTCTGTCTCTACATTTTTCTCCTTCCGACTCATGGTTGTCGGATGCCTCTGACTCGTCGTCGTGCTCCATGTGAGAGCACTAGACTGTCTTTGCTGACGTAGGGGGGCGGGCGACGTCGTCTCTTAACCCCCATAATCAGGCAAGATGTTGGAGTGCCAATCGTGGGACCTAATACGATGGTTAGGAATACTTTATCGACATCTGTTTTTCTTGCTATCTCGGCTGTATCTACATGACATGCTTTGCGTCGAAGGGCAAGAGATGTCGACAAGGCGACGAATGTGGTGTACAGATGCGAGGTGAAGGTGTCGAATAAATTAAGGAGTTGCTGTCGTCTTGTCGCAGCTCGAGAACGCGTCTGTGCGTGTGGTGTGCTTGCCACTTAACTTTAGGTGAAGCTGAACGAGGGGGAACTCACGTCTTTGTCTGGCATGCGTACCAGTTGAGCGAGAGGGCTGTAACTAGATATGAGCCCTGTTTGTCAGTAGGTTTGAATGGAACTGACAAGGGTATTTGATTTTTGAGGAAGAGGACGTGGGCAAGGAAAGTTGTTGCGAGTCTTGCAGCGAGGTCGTGAGTGACCCTCTCCGTGTCCAGGGTCACTGTCGGGAAACAATCGGCCCGGGCTGTCTTTGTCGTGCCGGTCATCCCCGTCGTTGCCGTGTTCGTCGCAGTCGCCGGTGTCGGCGTTGCCGCCTCTGCCAATGTCAGGACTCTCATAAAGGAGAGGACGCGATGTGACAGCGTGACATACACGGTGTGACATGACGTGACAGTGATATTTCCGCTACTTGCTCACGGCCACAGCGATGCCGCCCAAGTGGAGCACGATGAAACAAGCTGGTAAGGACTTGCACTCTTTTTTTGCTGGTGGGGCACCGGGTTCTGCTCAGAATGAACCGCAAAAGATGTGTTTTGTTTCGTTGTGTGGTGTGGCCACTGTGTCCTCTTCAAGGTGCCATGTGTGCCTGCAACATATTCAAAACTCATAAGCTGTTATGGGGTACTTCAGGTACAGTGACACAATCTCAGCTGGAAAATTCCTAGGCATTCTGGTGCTAAGATTGTAATTGTACATGGTATAGTAGTTCCACTGAGTATATTGGCACATAATTAGACCTGCTATCAAGTATCCAAGGGTCCCACAATAGCTGGAAAGGATGTCAGGCTTAAACAAAGAAGTGTCTGCATTTCTGATACACCTGACATGGGCACTCAAAAAAGGCACCCCCTTGGAGGGGGCCTCTGTACCTATAACATACCAATTCCTCATTACATCAAGTGGACTCCTTGAGGTGTTATGTCATAATCTCCTCCTTCTGGTATTTAGGAGTTTTGTCAAGTTCCAGGGTATGTATTGCCAATGTAACTATCTAGAAAGGTCTGGAATACTCAGAAGAAGCCCTTAAAACATCCCCAGGTCCATACCTGCAGGGGGGAATACTGGGAAAGTGAAATAGTGTAGGAGTACCAATCTGCTGTCACACCCAAAGAAGGAAACAATGATGCACAGTGGGCGCAGGATATATGTCATAACCCCAAGAAGGGGATAAGTAAAGTGAAAATACAAAGGCAGGAGTGGGGGTGGACATGCCCCAACAGATGAGATATCAAATGCATGATGTGGATATAAGGTAGCTGCCACAGGGGAAAGAATCCTCATGAGACAAGAATGTCACCTCATCAACCCACATTCCTGCCTGAGCACACTGAGTTTTAAGCCTACCATCCATACACACATATGTATCTGGTGGTTACCATGTCAGCCTCTGTGCACACATCATCTCCATCAGGTTATGAGCCCCAACTGCTCATAACTGACCTCATCACCAAGCCACCAACATAGCACCAAGAAGATCCACCTGCTTATCTGTCAGAAGGGGGAGAAGAGAGATGTTGAGAGCAAGGGCACCAGCCAATTCATGAGGCACAATGCCTGAGGGGGAAGAACCCCCTAATGCACAGACCAACAAGCCAACATGGTCTTCACCCACAGCACCAACAGCATCAGCTGGTGCCCCAAGGACACCACAGGTAACATTGAACTCACCTATAGGTTTGCCCACAGTTGCAGGGCCCTCATCACAACTGGCAAGGTTGAGCCCAGTCATTGATGGGTCCTTGACATTGGTGACAGCATTGTCAAAGGGGAAAGGGTGAGCCAGGTCTAGAGAGAGAGGACAAGGGGGAGAGATAGAGATAGTCAAGATAGAGAAGCTCACCTCTAATAACTGGGCAGCATGGAAAAAGAAGATCACCACTGTACTTTGGCTCCAAGATCTGTATGAGATGGTGACAGGGGATGACCCACATCTTAAGAGGAGGCCAAAATTAAGACTATAAAGAAGGTCTCAGGTTTCTGTGGTAAGAAGACTGAGGTGCATGAGGAAAAACTAACTGTCTAAGTGCGAAGAATTGTTATGTAAGCTTGTATGCTGTAAGCAAATAAACATAGGGGACACATGTTCCAACACACCCCCTCAGTGTAGCAAGTCTTTAGAAAATAATTCCCATACCAAGAGAAAAGTGTTCATGCTTCTCACATGACAGTCCCTTGGTGAGAACATCAGTGATCTGCTTGTTCATAGAAATGTACTTGACATCCATTTCTCCATCTTCAACCTTCTCATGGATAAAATGGTGATGAATAGCTATGTGCTTCATGCAGTCATGGAACATTGCATTGCTTGTCAGGGCTATTGTGGACCAATTGTTGACTAGGAGAGAAGTGGGCTTTGTGACCATACCCATATCTAGTTCATGTAGTAGCATTTGTAGCCAAAGTATCTCTTTTGCAGCTGCTGAGACTGCCATGTACTCAGCTTCTGTGCTAGACAAAGCAATGGAGGTCTGTTTCTTGGATGACCAGCTACCTGCTCCACTCGACAGAGTAAAGACATAGCCAGTTACAGAATGGTGGTCATTTACATCTGCAGCCCAGTCAGCATCAGTGTAGCCTACAAGAGAGCTCACAGAGTCTCTTGTGTACTGTAAATGCACATCAACAGTTTTTCAGAGGTATCTGTAAACTCATTTGAGTGTGGTCCAGTGTTGGTCACCAGGGGTAGCCACATGCCTGCCAAGCACACCCACAGCAAATGTGAGATCTGGCTGGGTAGCCAGCATAGTGTACATCAATGCTCCAAGAGCACTTTGATACACATGTAGGTCATAGGCAGGAGCATCAAGTTTCTCTAATTTTAAGTTCTGCTCAATGGGTGTGGACACTGCACAGCCATCCTGCATGCCCATACGCTCGAGAATGAGCTCTATATAGCAACACTGAGACAATTCTATGGTTCCCTTGTCATGATCTCATATAATCTCCATACTGAGGATCCACTGAGCCTCACCTAAGTCAGAGAGGTTGTACTTGGCTGATAATTGGACTTTGAGGAAATCAATGGCCTCACAGCTCTTCGAGAGGATCAGTTTGTTGTTGACATAGACAGCAACTATAATTAAAATGCCATTTTCATCTTTGTAGAAAAGACTGTGGTCAGCATCACTGCATGTGAATCTGAGAGAGACTTCTTGTAGTTGATTGTACCAAGCTTTCAGAGCCTGTTTCGGTCTGTAGAGCACATGATAGAGGTGCCAAATGATGCTGCTCAAGTCTCAGAAGCCAGGGGGAGGATGGAGGTATATTTCCTCATTGAGTTTGCCATTGAGAAAGGCAGACTTTACATCCATCTGGTGGATCTCCAGATCATACTTAGCAGTGAGGGTGAGTAGGGTTCTGATGGTAGAAAACTTAGCTGTGAGTGTGAATGTCTCCATATAATCAATTCCATGGACCTGTGTGAATGCCTTTGCAACCAGTTAGGCTTTGTACTTATCAATGTTGCCTGTAGGGCCTTTCTTTATCTTGTAGACCCACTTTGAATCTATAATCTTCCTGTCAGGTGGGCATGGTACCTCCTTGTACAATCCTATAGTGCAAAATGTTGCAAATTCATCAGCCATCACTGCACACCAGTGGTCAGCATCAGTGTGACACATTGCCTCTGTGAACATTGTAGGCTTGTTGTCACAGATTGTGCTTGTTTGGTATGTGGTAACTTCTTCCCTTTCTGGGTCATCACCACTCTGCCTCACCATTGCCACACCTTCTCACATGCTTGCCTCTGTCTCAGCACCCTCACCCTCTGCCCCTGCATCCTCCACAGACAGTAAGCTATGTTTTTGATATGCATTGATGAAATAGCATTGATTGTTGTCTTGAATAGGCATTTTTCTGGCTTGGGATGACCTTTGAAGTCCCAGAGGGGGGATAGGGATTGGATAAGGACCAGGAGGCCCAGGCATCAAGCCAGAGCGATGGGCAGCCACAGATGGCGCTTGGTGTCAATGTTCTGAAGTCCATACTTCATCATTCTGCTCATGGTTTGACCCACTAATGCTTTTCTCTGTTTTAATATCAGTTTTAGGCTTGAACATCAAGCAGCTGTGATTGTCAGGGACCTGTGAGCCATCATCAGCTGCTGTCTCATCGTTTTGACTGCCCCAGGTGTGTCCTTCACCATCACCACCATCTGATTCATTTCCAGGTTCATCTGAGGTTGTTTTGCTCTCTGGTAGGTCAATCTCCCCTTGCATCCCTTGTGCATGAGCTGCAGGTGTTATATGCCTTGTTTCCCTAGTTACCATGTCTATCTGGACTCAAGACATGTCTACACTGTCCCCTTCATCAAAGATGGCATCATGTGTTTTGACAATTTGCCCAGTTGACTGATGTGTGCACAGGTACACCTTTTTATTCTCTGAGTATCCCAAGAGTGTGCACTCAAGGGACTTAACATCTAGCTTTTGATGCTTCTCTTCCAGAATGTGGACATGTGCTGTGCATCCAAAAATTCAAAGATGAGCAACTGACAGCTTGTTTCCAGTGTATGCCTCATAGGGGGTAATGCTTTGCTTGAGCACTTTAGTCAGTAGTCTATTTATTATGTGTGCTGTGTGCAGTATGGCATCCCCCAATATTTGTTGGGTAGACTGGCATCACTGAGCATAGCTTGCATGGACTCAATGAGTGTTTGGTTCATCTGTTCTGCTATGCCATTTTCCTGTGGTGTGTAGGCATTTGTCTTCTCATGATGTATGCCTTTTGACTTCAGATAGGCTTTAAATATGTTTGAGCTATATTCTCCACCACCATTGCTTTGAAGATAGTT